ACGGGGTCCAGCGGCATCACCGCCCCAATGGGCGTCTCTAGACCCCACGTCCAAACTCTTTAGGGCCGGCTTTTACGGGGCTGCCAGCGATGGCCCTGGGACACACCCTCAGGATAAGGTTTGCCACTCCCCCGGCCAGCAAACCTCACTCCACGAACGGGAGTCTAGGCCTGAAGACTAAGTGACTTGTTCCAGGGACAGAGCTCGGCAGAGCTGTGCCCCGCCGCCCCCGGCCCGGTAGGTCTCAGGTGAAGACTTGACAAGGGCCGCGGCTGTGCGATGGGCACTCGGGGCAGCCTCCTGAACTCGGTCCTCTGCCGAGAGCCTGAGGCTTTGCCCCAAGCCAGGCTGGAGGTTGAGGAAGCACAGCTTCAGAGTTCCCACGCTGTGGCAGGAATAGAACTGGTAGCTCCAGAACGGGCCCACACATTTGTCAGGGAACAGAACAGCTCCACACCTCCTGCCTGGCTGGGGAGCAGCCGGCAGCCCAGGCCCCAGCTGTTTCCCTGGTTCGCTGTCTGCACCCACGCTGAGCTTCACTTTTCTCTGTCAGCCTTTGGTTTGCTCTAGAGGAAGGGATGTGTGTGTGTGCACGGCGCACGCTTGGGGGAGATGGGGTCCCTGAGGACTCCCTGATGAGACACACTTCTCCAAGGGGCAGTTTGATGCAAGAAAGGTGAAGCCACCAGCCACCAGCAACACGCTCCCAGACCTCGGATCACTGCTTCGCCCAGGACCATCTGTGGGCCAAGCTGCAGGTGGTTACCTCAGAATCAGCAGTTTTGGTGTGAGGATGAGCTGACTGCGAGGAAAAGGGCAGCCGGGAAGGAAAGAAAACTGATAAAGTGCAGTTAAGAAAAGGGAACTTAAGGCTAGTGTGGTGACCCGCTCCTGCAGTCCCAAGCTACTGTACTTGGGAAACTGCGGCAAGGGGATCCTTTGAGCCCAGGCAGCAACCCTGAGCCCCTGTCTGTAAACACCTTAAATAAAAAGGAAAAGAGTGGGAAGCTGGCTGGAAACAGATACAACTGGGCACTCTGATTCCTTCTGGTCTCTTACCCCTGCTCTATCGTGGAGATGCCATTCCTTTCACCTCAGCCCCTGTAATGCTTGAAGGAAGAGATTTTTAAATTTTTCATCTTTAAACTGGTGGTAACATTTCTGAGGAAATGGCAAGGCCATGTGATGGCCTCAGAGCAGCCTCAGGGAAGAGGGAGGGACACTTCCTTAATCTGACATTTCAAGTGCCAGAATCAGTGAAGCCCTGAGGGACTCCCAAGGCTGAGAGCCTTGGCTGGAGCTGTGCATGCACAAAACATAGGCACATGACTGTGAAGCACCAGAGAGACCCTCATTAGAGCTGTCCCCTTGCTCCCACTCACTGGCTACCAGCCACGATGGGAGTAGACAGCTCTGGTTCTAAGGTTACTTACTCTTAGAGTATCAGTGCCACTGGTAAGGAGATTCCCCCTAGTCAGGTTACATGACAAAACTCCACCCTTTTCTGCCAAAGTTGAAGACCTTCTGCCCTGACCCCTAGTCTCCTGGAAGTGTTCATAGAGAGTGGCTGGTCTTGGCCCCCAAATCTTTCCAGTTGCAAATAGTTTGATGGCCACAGGCAAAAATAAATAGTCATTTTGAAATTTTAGGTAGTGTGAACAGATCACTTATTAGGTAAAAGAAACTGTTGCTGGGTACTTGGGAGGCTGAGGCAGGAGGAGCATCATGATCAAGGCCAGCCTAGGCTACATAATGCATTCAGGTCTAGCCTAAATTACAAAGTGAGATCCTGCCTCAAAAAGACCAAAAACCTGTTATGTCTTATCTAGCGAAAGAGGTCACTGCTGAGCTTCCTGTGGGCCCACTCGTGGGCGGCAGAACCCAGGGTGCAATGACACAAGTATAAGCCTTTGTGGCCATCCTTGAAAATAAACACTAGGAAGCAGTCTGCAATCTGTGCACATGGAAACACATACCGAAGTCAGTCTCCAACAGATTCTCTACACATTTTAATTTGTTCTGACAATGAAACTAACAGCATAAGGACTGAAGCTCTCGGGTAAGGCAAGATATTATGGCCCACCAAGACAGGTGGCAGGAGGCGTGATGGATTCTTGGGAAAGAGATAAGCTACACAGATGAGCTACAGGAAGGGCTTAGATGTCCAGGGTCCCAGCAATAAGAAAGATAAGGATGGACTGCCCCAGCTTTAACCTGGAGCTTAAAAGAGAGAAATGCCTTTCCCTTCAATTAGGAAGAGGCCTGAAGGCAAGGGAGGCAGGCAGGTTGCTTTGAACTTGCCCCTGCATGGACCTATAGGATCTGGGAACAAAGGAAGAGAATGGAATTCAGCTGGCAGGAAAACAACCTGTAGTAAGAGAAGGTGACAATTCCATGCGTTGATGAGTCAAACCTTGGGCTTAGACTTCAACCTCAGGGCCAGAGATGCATCCCTTCCTCCAAGGAGGTCACCTCAGCTCATCAGCGGATGGGGCATGTCAGCTTTCTGAACCCACCTGATCCTGGGAGTCCCTTGTGTCTTAAAAGTCACAGAGCAGTGAAGACATCGCTCCCAGAACGTCCTTCCCATCAGCCAGCAACCAGCTCTGCTGGCATGTCCTTGCTACCCATTCTGCACCCCAGGGTCGGGAATGTGCCAGCCCATTCCCTGGGCTGGAGAATGTGCCTGGTCTTCAGAGGCTCAGAACTCCCAATCATCTACCTCCAGCTCTTCCAAGTTTGTCACCAGGCCAAAGATTCCACTGTGATCCTGAGAATGGCTACCCTCAAAATTGGTGATGGGGGTGACAGGACGAAGTAATTCAGGCAAAGCTTCTGAGGCACGTCGCTTGATCTGGGGGAAGAGAGAAAATTGTGTTGGGTCTTTGTTTTTTTTTTTTTTGGTACCAGGGATCGAACTCGGGACCTTGTGCTTGTGAGGCAAGCGCTGGAACCACTGAGCTAAATCCCCAGCCTGAGTGTTGGATTTTAATGCATAAACCATGGCCTAGGTGACCAATGGGCTATTGCAGCTAAGAACAATGAGTACCATTTTGGGGGCTTAGTTTCTCTAACTGAAAAACAGGAAGAGAAAATACCTAAAGACCCCATAGCTACAGAGCTACGGGAACTATAGGCAGTTAGATCCATAGGGAAGAAGAAACAGGATGCCAAGGGAGACTGCTCTTGTACCTGTCTGAAGAAGGAGTGGCTCAGAAGGGCACTGGCACTTGGCCTGGAGAGAAAGGGGGAGAGATCCACATCACCCTGTGCCCACTTCCCACATCCTGCCAATGACACCTCTTCTTCAAGTCCCTCTACTTCTTGCCTCAGCTCGATGATGCTGGCTTCTTAGCCAACCCATGAGCTGATGATCCCTCTTGCTGTAGAGCTCCACTCTGCTCCTGGAAACCCAATCCCTTACAGAGCCTTTGAGAGGCACATGCTCTCAAACCCTGGCCCAACTCTAGAGCTTCCTCTGCTCTTCCCACTCCCCAAAGCCCAGCCCCAAGCCAGCAGGATACCTTGCATCTGGGTTGCGCTGAAGGCACTGCTCCACAAAATGGTGGAAGTGTGGGGAGAAGGTTCGGTGGTAGGGGTGGGAAGGCG